GAGAATGGGTTTTTTCTATTTCTACCACCACATGCTGAGTATTGTAGCGTCTAGATAAACATGTAGATTTTTCAGCAATAGATTAGCACGTCTATCTTCTTGCTTAGAACAAAATCTAGTCTCTTAAACAAATTTTGTCACTGCGGCACGCAGTATAATGAGCACGTTGTGAATGCGACCTGCTCAAACCCGGTGTAAGTGGATCAACTCATCGTTTGATTAACAAGAAAAAGGTAGACAATTGGAGTGGCCCTAAGGACTGCAAATTTTCAAAACGGTATAAAAGCAGCAGAGCACAGCTCGCAGCACATTGCATCTCATCGCAACCACAAGGATGCAAACAGCAATTGTATTTGCACTTCTACTACTAGCTGTGGTACGAGCAGAGGTGGGAACTGATATTTTCCATTATCATAGTGTCAACTTTAGCTTGGCTTTTAATAGTGTTTTGCCCAACTTTGATTGATTGTGTTCTTTTCAGTACTCCATGGCCCGAGAGAAACGATGCGCATGTGCGCCACCAATTCCATCACCCTGTTCCTGTGGAGTAGGACCCACTCCCTTCTGCTCGTGCAAGCCCGTTCTCCCTACTCCCTCCTGCGCTTGTGGATTCCAAACTCAATTAACCCATTGCAACACGTACTGCCAGAAAATTTGTCAGCCTGCATGTGTTAAAAGCTGGATCCCCTTGCCTTGTCAATCTTTCTGTGGAAACCTCTGTTCACATTCCTGTATGCCAAAACCAATGTTCGCACCTACGGTACCCCTCACTACTTCGGTAATATTACCCTACCATTGTCCCATGGTCTGCCACCAGTCCTGCATGAAGATGTGCGCCGTGCAACTACTCCCCAAGACCTGTATGTTCATGTGTCAGAAACCCTGTGTCCAAAAATGCGTCATGGCCTCTCCTGTCCCACACGAATTTGAGTTAATGGCTGAATTACCCTTCCCAGTAGCAGCCCCTCCTCCTCCACCGCCACCAACTTTTGCTGACGCAATCCCACTTCCTTCAGCTGGTCCGGGATGTATGGGCAGTGGATGCATGATGGACAACGTCATGCCACCAATGATTGATCCTTGAGATGTTGATGTTAACTGATGTTTTACAGCCAACTATTTGCTGAAGTTCACTTCTGTCTATAGGCAAACGCGTGAACGATGCTCATATAATTCACTCTTATTTTCATGAGTGAAGCGGATAAAATGTTTGTCCAAAATGTATTCAAGTCATTCGTTGAAACCCCGTAACTGTTGCCGAATTAGGCACATTTTTG